CATACTTTTGACATGCCTTCTCTCTATGTTTGCTCTCTGCAGTCTTTTAAGCAGATGATTGCTAGTTGTTTGGTGAAAGATCCATTAAAAAGGCCATCAGCAAAAAAGCTATTAAGGCATTCTTTTTTCAAGCAAGCTAGATCAAGTGATTATATTGCAAGAACTCTTTTGGAGGGGCTCCCAGATCTTGGTGACCGTCTTCAGGCAATAAAGGTGTGTGATATTCCGAGGATATGATACTACTATAAGTTGTCAATATTACCTCTACGGTATGTTCCATTAATGGATGCGTGTTTGAAAATTGACCTAGAGAAAGGAGGAAGATATGCTTGCACAAGAGAAAATACCAGATGGGCAGAAAGAGGAAATGTCACAGGTTTGATTTCGGCTTCATAAGTAACACAGTTATCTTCGTGTATTGATACACTGGAGATATAAAATTAATAATCTTTCTGATTTACCATTTACTGAAATGTAGGACATTGCTATAAAACATTGAGAATAGCCTAATATCTAGTATTTTTTTTTTTTTTTGTCAACCAATATCTATTTTAATGATAGCAGAGTTCCGTTATCTGTTCTACATGCACAAGGCTATTATCCTTTGTCAACCAAGTTATGTTTGGTTTTCTGGATTTTTAACTCCCTTAAGAATCTGTGCAGAATGAATATAAACGTGGGATTAGTGGTTGGAACTTCAACCTTGATGATATGAAGGCTCAGGCTTCCTTGGTATTCAATTCTTTTTAGCCTTCTGTGTTTTCTAGTTTGTGTGACTGGTGCTAATATTTGGTTGACGGTGAATTTATGTGGTTTTCTCTTGTGTTCAGATCCAGGATGAAGATATTATAGCAGAAAAAGATGATGATATGCACGCTAAACAACTTCAGTATCAGTTGTCTTCATCCAAACAGTTATCACAGCTTCAACGTCAGTTGTCTTTTACAAGTCAATATTCAGAAGTTGCAGATTCTGTACGTTCTTACCATTTTTGTTGTTCTATATATAAAGGCTGATGGCTGTTGGATCTTCTCTAATGCCTAACAATATTATTGTTCACAGGATGATAACAGTCAGCCTGCTTCTTCCTCATCTGTAGACTCCACTAGTAACATGTATGCACATCATAATTTCATGTTTCCCATATACTTTACATCACGTTTATATCACATATAATTCTGATAACTATATTTTACCGTTTTCAATAAATATTCAGCAATATGCAATTGTGGCCTAGTATTTATATTTGGAAACTGTTCATATGGATCTTATCCAAAACCGGTGCCCTTGGAGTATGGTAATCAAACTCATTATTATGTTTAGGACTAATCATGAAAAATCTGCTGATAGTGCAAGCATTGCTAGTTCGACCGTTGAGCAGAAAATATCCCATAATTTGTCTCCTGGCAGCAGGAATCACATGGAAAGTAATTTGTCAGAAAAATCAGAATCAGATATTCATGGAAAATTATTGGAGGAAACATCATATTCTCACCAGAGGTATGATGTTTGATTTACATGATCACTTGAATCCTTACGTTAGTTGTTCTTCATACAATTACAGGATTCCTTCTCTTTCATTTGCCTTTAAGTCTGTTAATGTGCATTTGTCCACGATGTGTCCATTCCTTCCTATTTTTTTGAAAAATCAAGTGTCAGCTTTTCGTGAACATGTTGCATGTGTCTTAGTCATACATAGATTTAGATTCAAGGATTTTTCATCTCAGGACTTGGGATTCGACAAAATTCAGTTTAGCTGTTGCAAGTGTTCCTTCACTAGACATGTACTTGGCTTTTATTATATGTTGTCACCGCACTAAAATAGAGAAAGTGTTTGGGTAGATACCTATTCTAGGCATTCCTAGTATATATTAAATGTTCCGCATCTCCCCCTGAATTCAAGTTTCCTTCTGTATATGACACATTAGAAGGTAGGGTGACATTTGGGTCAGTTGTGGAGAGGTTAAATTCTAAGAATTCACGATCCAACCGATCTTCACTTAAGTCCTCCCCCTGAAGAGATGGTTTTTAGAAATATGGTGTTTTTTCGAAGAAGGTAACATCAAGGCTAACATAGACCCGTTTTGTGGATGGGTCATAGCATTTATAGCCATTTTGAGTGGATGAGTACTCAATGAAAACACACTTTATTGCTCGTGGTTCAAGTTTATTTTGGTAATGAGAATGCATAAAGGCAGTGCTTCCAAATACTTTTAGCGGGAGGTTTGAATTGAGGCGAGAATTAGGAAAGTACTGTTGAAATTTATGTAAAGGTGAGGCAAATAAAAGGATATGACTAGGCATCCGATTGATAAGGTATGTAGATGTTAAAATTGCATCTTCTCAAAATGTTTTTGGCATATTTGTAGTAAACAATAAGCCTCGAGCAACCTCGAGTAGGTGTCTGTTTTTTCGTTCAGCAATCCCATTTTGTTGAGGGGTGTTGACACATGAACTTTGGTGAATTATCCCATGTGTTTTTAGGTAGTCTTGCAAGGTGGTATTGAA